TCAAGCGTTTGAAGCTGACAGTTAACTCATGCTGTTAACATATAGCGAAATGATGGTGTAGCATAATGTATATACATACACAATTTGAATTCGTTTCTAATAAGACTTCTATTGATGTTGTTAATTGTTCCATTAATTTTATTCTTTATGAATTCAAAGGTTTCCTTAGTTTTACCACTAAAATAATAATAATAAATTCAAATTTTAGCTCAAAATGTTATTGTAATGGTTATGTGATTTTTGATTTGAAATGATTGATAATATTCATTATAAATGAGTAGCCAGTTATTGCTGCGAAGCAGCCAATTCATATTCTCGACAGCAATTTGACCTCTGAAAGGTCATTGTTTGTCAAAAAACAATCGCCTAAGACAACTGAAAAGCGGAGTTTCCTTCTGTCGTTCTGCCGGGTAAAATCAATTACTTTAGGCGATGTTTGTAGACTAACCTACTCGTACCAACGTCGGCATGTAGCGACGCTGGAGTACTATTCAGCGTTTTTATTATATTTCTAGGTTTCCTATTTCTACGTTTAATCGGCTCATGTCTCAGCCACAATATTTTGAGGCCAATATTGTTTACGAACCCAGTTAAACTTATTTACTAGCCTATTTCAACGTGCTAATTATTACATTTAGGCGATGCTTGTTGTAGAGGATCGTTGTTGATAGGCAGACTTTCATCTCCATATGACTGTAGATAGCATTTTGGTGCACTTTCTTTATAAAATATCTAAGACGCTAGTTATATATTGCAAGCAACATAACATATTTTTGCTGAAACTGGCCTATAATAGTAAGGTGTACATCATTTGTTCATCATGTATTAACAGCTGATAAATCTTAATAATTGTTGTTATAAGTCGATCGTGACATCATCACTGCAACTCCCAATGTTATTTGCCTATCCTCCACTGTCCAATAATTTTTGTAATAGTGGACTCTTGTCATCATTTTTTTTTTGTGCAAAAAAAATACATCATTTTTTTGATGGAAATTCGTAAAAAACAAGGTTAATTAAAACCTGAAGAAAGTTACTTCAAATTTAGTATGAAGTAAGAAAAATTACTGAATGCCTTGAATAAATGGATGGACCCTCATAAACTAAACTAAATGAATGTTTAATAGGAATAAACCTATCAAGGAACGGAATTAGATATAGGCCAGGGCCAGGCATAGATCCCACCGAGGCCTCCTCCTACCTGCCTAGTTATGAATCATCGCACAATTACCTGTCTGCCACGACCAAAAAGTGACTACTGTATTCTCTCTCAAATGCTTTAAGAAATGTTTTTCTTGACAAATGTCTATCAAAATAGCATTGCAAACACGTTAACACAATACAATAGTCGTATTAGACTTTCCACAAGTCTCTTATTTGTTATTATTTTTCTCATTCTGGACAGCGCCACCAACGAGAAAGTTAATTTAGAGATAGACGGAATAAGCGACTTGTAAAACACTGAAATCAGGATGCCAAAAGAATTACGTAATCTTATATTCCGTATTTGGATAAATGGGCGGACCGAAATAAACAATTTCAACCAATCAAATGTTTATATTTTTGGAGCCACGAAACTGAGTCACTCGCGTCGACTAGTTAGGCATGACTAAATTT